CAAAACTGCTACTTATTGGTTATTACAGACCACAACACTGCTACTTATTGTTATTACAGACCACAACACTGCTACTTATTGGCTATTACAGACCACAACACTACTACTTATTGGTTATTACAGACCACAACACTGCTATTTATTGGTTATTCGATACTCTTAATTAATAGATTGCTATTTTCTGTAACATGTTTTAAGAACTTTCTTCTCTAATTTCTAGCCATTAAGACAATATTAAAATACTTCATCGATCTTTTCTTTCGACCAACTTATGTTGTTTCGTCTAGCGAGTAAAAGGGAAAAAATGTTTTTGGTATACCCATGCTACTTTACAAATATTCATATTTTATCAACATTGGGGTAATTTAATCATTTTTTATTGTAAAATCGTTATAAAATAATTCTACCTTTGTAATAGTTATATCAACACAATGAAAAAAATAATATTTTCGGATAAATGAAACCATCTTGAAGTAAAGTTTCGACGTTTTACTTGCCCAACGTTTCATGATAAAGATGTAAAGCCAGAACGTTGAGAGAGAGTGAGAGAAAAATCTTCAAAGGTTTCTCTGGAGTTCACGGTAGTTTCACTATTTCATAATTATGTCTTATACTCCAGTCAGCGTTATATAATTTAAATAATGTAACAATATTTTCGTACATCTGAACAAATTATACAAGAAAACAAACAATAAACAACAAAAACACGAGTTAAAACTGAATTTTCTAAAAAAAAAGAGAGACTAGAGATCCCTCGTTCTTACCATAGCCAGGCCAGACGTCTGTGATGTTCGTACTCCATACGTTCATGTCCACGTCATCTTTTGTCAGCCACACAATAGCCTCCTGTAGTCTTGTAGACTTTTCGAGCGTTTTCCGACTGACGGAGAGGAACGCACAACAGTGGTATGAGTAGGAGAGAACTAAGGTATGAACACGGGGAAAGGAGTCTGGAGAGGGGAACTCTTTTAAATTTGGATTGTTGAAAGTTTTAAGCTGTCGAAGATCCTGTAATCCCTTAGTCGGAAGTGTAGGAAAACGATTGTTACCAAGGTTTCTAACCGGAAGAATAAAGCAGTAAAATTAAAAACAGCTGTTCTTGAAAAACTTTTACTACAATCAAAATTATCTAATAAAATCATACTGAAATTTTAGGCAAAAAATAACCGTGTTATAACGTGTCTAACTAGAATATATAAAAAACAGAATTAAATTATTTTTCTTGCTAAGAATAAAAGAGTAAAGCAATTAATAACGTTTCGTTTTCTTTCCTACCAAAATTGTCACTTCCAATTCTTTTTTCACCGCCTCTCTTTAAATCCCTATCAAGGTTTTAACACATTTTATATTTTTGCTTTTATCTCTTATTATTATTTCTTCCCCCAATAATTGTTTTTTATCCGTGTAACGTTCCTCTAATTTTGAAGTTGTGCTTGTGTTTCGTTATATATATTCAGTCCGTTTCGCATGTCACAAAAATTAGCAAATAAATGAACTACAGTGCTCGACATTTCTTATAGCTTCTTCTCACAGTAGCCGAAAGGTCGGCCGTGGCCTGTTAGTTACTACGAATCTAAAGGTCCTGTGCTCGTGCCAGTGGCGCAGACAACCGTTTAAAGTTTCCCGGATACGACCAGTGCATACTTATATTGTAGACAGCACTTTGGTCTGGTCCCCTTGTTTCTATTTGTACATGTCTGTGTCTGTGGTTAAAGAAATATATAACATTCTGGTATCGCGTTGAATGTAATTACATCCAAACAATAGCATTTTATGAATAACTAGTTAAGTTACCGGTCCTACACACGGGGGCCATTTAATCTAAATGACATACTTAATTACGTACCAACACGTGTTCCCCCTTTTCACATTTCACATCGACCCTGCTGAAACAAACCAGTTTTTCACGCTTCAGTTACTTAACAGATTGAGAATTTATCATCTCTCGCCCAAGTATTATCTTGGAACTTTGCGCAGCGATACCGCTAAATAAGCTCTGAACTTCCAATTGTGGGTGCGTTATTAGAGTGAAGCTTCCCCCATTTTCACACTTCGCATCGTCCCTGCTGCAACAAACCAATTTTCCACGCTTCAGTTACTTTACAGGTTGAGAATTTATCATCTCTCGCCCAAGCATTATCTTGGAACTTTGCGCAGCAATGCCGCTAAATAAGCTCTGAACTTACAATTGTGGGTGCGTTATAAGAGTGACAGTCAATCCCGTTATTCATTACAAAGCTGGACAAAGCCCCTGTGACGGCGGGTACTGCTCACTGGCTATCTTCCCTCTGGTCGGTAATACAAAATTAGAGACTGCTACTATACCTGAACACTAAGAGTCTTTGATCAAGCCATTTAACCCACGTTAAAAATTTCAAAACCGAAAGTAACTATGCTAACAAGTTCCTTCTTCTTCGGTGTGATTACATTTGAATAGAGAGAATTGCTCTCGTCTGTTGTAGTCAAATATAAATTGTCATGTCATAACAACATTACTACTGACAAATTCATATTCATGTTGTTGTTGTTTTCTTACCAAGTAACACATATCACTTTGTTAATCTAATCAATATGGGGTAGCTACAACATGGAGCATCTGCTCTGCAAAATATAAACACGAATCTTAACTAAAAAGAAAATCAACCTACAGATCTCTTAGTCGAGGAACAGACTCGAAGGCTTCTGGGTGAATGTCTTCAATCTTGTTATTGACAAGACTTCTGAAAAAGAAGAAATAATAACAAATATATTGAAACTCAATTTCAAAATGTATGGTAACTGCAATGATTTGGAATATTAAATTTATGTTGCCGAACTGATTTAATATGCTCTAACAGAACTGCACATTACCATAGACACAAATATTACTTTTCAATGCCAAATAGGATCAAACATGTTGTATTAATAATCCTTGGTGTTTTTTTTTCTATAAATCAAAGTGTTACGCTTTTAATTAACATAATTCTAATATCACTACTATATTAAAATAACCCCCTGTTGATTCCATTTTTGAGCTAATTATCCACTGACAGCCTTGAATAACCAGTAGAACGATGAACCTTGTTAATTATCTACTAATTATCCTTTAATAATCAATGTTAGTGTGAAACATTGCTAGTTCTCTACTAATTATCCTTTAATAATCAATGTTAGTGTGAAACATTGCTAGTTCTCTACTAATTATCCTTCAGTAATCAATGATAGGTTGAAATGTGTGATACAAGGAGACTTTCCTTTGTCTTGGATCTTCTCCATAAACTTCTAGTGTCACAAACTATGTTTGTAGTTCCACGGATTACTTACAAAACTACGTAATGATATGAGCTTCACAAGAAATCATGTTGTTGTACTGAGGAGTTCAAAATGAGCATTTATACATAACAATCATTTAGTTCCTTAACCCAGTTATTCATTAGTCATTAAACTTCTTTTTTTCTTCTTCAGAAAATATATCTATTTCATTATTTTGTTAACTCTTGAAACCTTCAGTACGAGAAAGTTGGATATATTGAACAAAAACGAATGTTTTTTTTGTTTGGTTCAGGAAATAGTTTGATATAAATATTCCCCAACATCTCATATGGAAAACTCTGAAAAGTGTAAAAGAAAGAAGATTTAACGTCATCGTTTAATACAAGGGACTGGACATTCACCAGTCCCTCTCAAGAGTTCTAGTTTCAGTGGTTCCAAATAAGATTCACTCAAGCATATCGTAATGGAAAGATGACTTCGTCGAAGATCTCAGTTATCGAAGCAGTGTTTCCTACATACACACACACACATACACTTCCCGATATACACATATATTAATATGATGTATTCTTTATCACAGTCAACTTGAGAATTTCTGAGTTCGCTAAACACATGATAATATATCACAATTTAACTACATAGGATGAAATATTTAATAACTCTGAATAAAGCAAAGTGTAAACATGAAATTTTCCATATTACAGTAAACAGCTTATTTCAACGTGTGATAGATGATTGAAGAGGTATCAATTGAAGATGGATAGCGAATTTCATATATTACAGTTAATAGTTTGTTTCAACGTCTGGTGAATAATTTTCACTGTATCAATCTTGTCGATGGATATCGAATTTCATACGTTACAGTAAATAGCTTGTTTTAACGCGAGGTGGATAATTTGAATGGTATCGTTGTTGATAGATCTATTTTAACTTAACTTAGTAGTTGATTAAATTGCATCTCTTGTTGTCGGTTTTATTATTTATATGTTTTAGTGTTCTTTTTGTGTGTACATGCCGTACGTTTGTATGGTGTACGTACAGAGAGAGAGAGGTGTATGCTGGTGTAGTTTTAATTAAGGCACTACACCAATAACACCATATATTGTCCAGAAGTCTTCAAAAATATAGGATAATTAATATAAACTATAAGAACAAATTACGTCCCATATACTGGCGAGACCAAAAAGCCTCTCTTTTTAACTTCTATTTGTAGCTTATGGAAACACACAGACAAGTTGTAGGTTCTCATTATTACTTACCCACAATCACGTTTTAAAACTGTCACATCAAATACCAAACTATTGACAAAATCTATGGTATACCTAAACACTTACAAACTCTGTGGCATACCTAAATACTATAGAACTCTGTGGTATACCTAAACATTGACAAACTATAGTATATCTAAACACTGACAAACTCTGTATTATACCTAAACATTGACAAACTCTGTGGAATACCTAAATACTGATGAACTTTGTGGTATACCTAAACACTGATGAACTTTGTGGTATACCTAAATACAGACAAAATCTATAGTATACCAAAACATAAAAAAATCTGTAGTATAAATACACTGAGAAAAATGTTCATGTTATCAAGTGCTCTTCAACACAAACTGTTACGTGCACCCAAGTATAAGGCGAGAAGAACCGTCTGAAAGAATATCAAGTCTATTAAAGTAAAATATATTTGTAATCCGAATTCAACAGAGAGGGGGAGAAGGAGGTAACTGTGGCCCAGGAATGTTTTTATGGCGACCACTGCATATGAAAAGGAAAGATAAGTAGGTTTTCTTACAAAATAGAAGCGGATGTCGGCGAGTTCCCCTGAAGCAACTCCAATCGCAGGCTTCATCCGGGTATTTTTATAATTGGTGCTAGAGGCAATACTAGATTTAATTCAAACTAGGTACACACTTGTATTTGAATGTTTACAAGTTTAACAACTGTAGTAACGATACAACGATGTTTATTTTTTTCGTTACTGGACAAAGGCTTCTATAATTACATGAAGGGTTTAGAAAACCGAAATAAAAATCAAAAACTTAAATTTTTTCAGTATGATGCGAGCTTCCTAAATTGTTTGAAATCCGTCTCGAGAAGCCTACATTTTCACTGCAACAATAGTTTAGTACTGTACTTCCCATACATTAAACTTTAAAATGTCATTTCTCATGTTACAGAAGTAGCATTAATTTTTACTGAAACTTCTTTTAGGTTAGCAATAATAGCTGTAAGACAACTTAATCCATCATTACACAGGAGTCACAAACCATAAGTAGTTGCAACTAAGTCGTCAATTTATCATAAGCATAATAAATTATTACAAAAGAAACAAAAATATGAATAAGTTATTCAATGCGCTAGTATTTTACTATTAGCTTTAAACAAAACAGTTCGCTTTGTTTTTATGAAAAAATACGTTTACCAATATATGATCACGAAACATTTTCCCCAATGTCCTGCATTACTCCCACAATTCAACCAGGCTGTTTTGTTGCTGTTTGACCTTCTCAATTTTCATAACAGCTCACACACCCTTAATATTATTCATATGGATACCTTGTGCTGGCCAAACTATTGATTGTGAATGTTTCATCGGTTTCTTTTCCCTTAAAACAAATCGTTTAATTACATTGTTTGCATGCTTGAGATCACTATCTTATAAGAAGATAAATCCTAATCTTGTAAGAATATAAATCCCTATCCAACAGTTCATGTTCTTGAAGGTTTGTTTTAGACATTCGCACAAAGCTATACAAGGGTTATATGTAGTCCCTATATATAGGGAGGCCCGGCATGGCCAGGTGGTTAGAGCGACTCGCAATGTGAGGGTCGCGGGTTCGAATCCCCGTCACACCAAACATGCTCGCCCTTTCAGCCGTGGGGGCGTTATACATTGCAATCATTTGGTCTTTCTTACAGGGACCTGGTGATTAAAGCATTCGACTCACAATTTGCGGGGACACAGGATTGAATCGCGTCACCGAACATGATCGCTCTTTCAGCCTCGAGGGCGTTATAATGTGACGGTCAATCCCACTATTCGTTGGTAAAAGAGTAGCCCAAGAGTTGGCGGTGGGTGGTGATGACTAGCTGCCTTCCCTCTAGTCTTACACTGCTAAATTAAAGATGGTTAGCGCAGATAGCCCTCGTGTCGCTTTGCGCGAAATTCAAAAACAAACAAACAATATGTAGGGAGCGAATGACTCAGGTGTCTAAATCCTAAAACAAGGTGGAAGGTTGTTGTAAAGAATAATAATAATGCAAACAATACTTTGACCTTTTCTATTTTTGTGTAATGGTTTAACACTTTGGTTTAAGTAATAATTTAGAAAGGTAGTGAACGAAAAAACAAACAAAAAACACACACTTTATCAAAATTTCTTCCTACCTCTCTTTCTCTAGGTTAAAATGACCTATTAATAATCATCACATTGCAATCATTCAGTCTTTCTTACAAGGACCTGGCGATTAAGGCATTCGACTCGCAATCTGCGGGAACACAGAATCGAATCGCGTCACCGAACATGATCGCTCTTTCAGCCTTGAGGGCGTTACAATGTGACGGTCAAGCCCACTATTCGTTGGTAAAGAGTGGCCCAAGAGTTGGCGGTGGTGGTGGTGATTAACTGCCTCTCTTCTAATCTATCTCTTCAAAGGTGGGAACGGCTAGTGCAGATAGCCCTAAAGCTAGGAACAGCTGGTGCAGATAACTCTCGAGTAACTTTGCTCGAAATTATAAACAAAAACAAACGAACTGTAATATTTTCACGTAACTAATTCTAAATGTCTATACAGCTCTTATTGAAACATAAAATTTTGCTTCAAGCAGTTGTATAAAGCAGCCTTCACCAGCCAAAAGTTTGATTTTTACGCGGTTGTTATGCCCCTTTCATGATGCATTCACCCCACTATTGCTGAAAATAGTATGACTGCCTGCAGTTCTTATAGGAAAAAAATATTGCTAAGTAAAGAAAAGCAATGCAGAGTCGGCTACTGAACTTGAAAAAAGGAACCAAATAAGATAGGGATAGAAGTGTACTTATAATTTGATCTAGCTAATGATCACATAGCAAACTAAGCCGTCTCTACTTTACATGGGGAATAAGATCCCCACATTACTGGCTTTCACACTTTCTCTATCGAAAACTTGTTAGTTGAATAGAATCTCAGCTTTCATCATATTATCTTTCCTTTAGAATATTACGTTTATGACTATTTTGCAATATTCTAGAGTTTTATAAATTTTGCATAGAATAACAATAAAATATGTAGTCGTGGAGACTGTATTGCTCTGTCAAATGATGATAAAATTATAGTTACTGCTAGAACTAGATAGACGATAGGCCTGTTGAAGAAAGATGATGATGAAAGAAAATAAGAAATCTCGGTTTTGGCTATTAGCCGGTTTTCGACTTTGGGACGCTCTGGATAGCTTAAAAGCGGCTTAAACACCGGAGATAGAGCGACTATGCCAGGTAGCTCTTCATATCTAGCTTCTGATGACCTATAGAAAAGAAAATCCAGATGACTTTTGTATTGCTTTAATACGAGCGTCTGTGCCATCCTTACATAGAGATTGCTAGCACACTCTACGGTAGGCATTATGCTTGTGTTGAACTGGCTGGTTGGTTGGATGACATACAATCACAGCAGTTCATTTTCATACAATGGCAGTTCGATCCCATAATATTTGCATTTTATGTTCATTTTATTCACTTGTTTTCATAATAATTTCAAAAGGCGTTTACATGTATAAATACACACATTTATTTAATTATCATGGAAACATATGCATATATACATATGCACTTACATAATATCTTGCTGTGCATACATACATACATAAATTCACAAGAGTATATTCATTCATACATACACATAAAAAAGCACCTTTTTAACTATTAGAGAACCAGTTTAGTGGCCCAGGTTGATTGACTTTTCACTTAATATTAAAATGACAGTAGAAGTTCATTTATGAGGAAACGAATCTAATATTACACAAAAACATCACAAATTCATATATCATGTCCATTGAAAGAATTTAGCAAACTGGAAATAAACTTAATCCAGAGATTCTACACCAACTTACAAAACTTGTAAGTTGTCCAGTCCTCGAAAAGCATCGCGTGGAATAGTTTCTATCAGATTGTCTCCTAGCAACAAATCAATCAGGTTCTTCTGCTTTTGAAATGGAATGTTCTCCAGCGATCTTATCCTGTTGTAACTGAAGTCTCTGCAGAGAAAGAAGAACAGTAAAATCCTCCCCATGGCAAGGCACACAGGGGATATTTCCATTCCAATATAATAGCGTATAGGTAGCAAGAAAAACACAAACTTAACACGATTCTTACTTTCCCATCTAGAGTCTTAGAAAGTTAAATAGCATGGTACTCCTTTATCATTGGTATAACTTGAAACTGTGGGGATATCCAACTGACCATGGATTACTGGACAGAGATATATGACGACTTTCTCCAGTGAAAATATAAACTGTTATTACTGTAGTGAACAAGAAGTTCTGATAATAAATAAGTAAATTATACATAACACCACAATAGAAATATTAAAAGGTCATAAATCAATAAATATAAATGTGTCATCGCCGTTAACGGTCTTATCGGTCGTAATATCTCAAGAGGTTTGGTTAGTATAGGAGATGTATATTAGTCCTGAGTCTATAAGCTAAGCTAACAATGCAAAATATTATTCATAAGTGTATAAAAATGGATCATAAAACGTAATCAAGTTGTAAGAAATAGCATTTAAGTATACTAACTAAATAAAATAAATTAAAACACCAACCGTTTGCCCCAGATATCCACAAAAATACGTTAATATACTTATAAGTTAATTATACAGTGTATTTGCAGTACTGCACATCAACAACAAAAATAAAAATAAAGATTACAGCTCGTGATTAAAGTGCATAACGAAAAGTTGCTTAAATAAAAACAAAGCTGCTATTATAAGAAGAACAAAAAGCCGCCATTTCTCTCTCAAATAAGGCCAGATATCACCAGTCAGCACTACGTTTTTTAATTGAAAAGACTACTCATCGAATGGTTTTTAACCTGAAAATAACTCAATATATTTCATACTACATAATTAAAAAGAACCTAAAACTTGATTTATTGGGAAGTGTATTAATTAAAATTGTATTAAAACAAACAATATAACCGTTGTTAAGAAAAACATAGTAAGTGAAATAAAATATAAGATTGAAATTGAATGTTTATAATTATTTTAACCTACTAGAAGTTATAAAATTATATCACTTATAAAGTATTTAGAATATACGTAAATATATATAAAGTAGAGGAACAACGCTTTACTTCTTTAACAAGCATTACTTTGTTAATATATTGTATATTTTACTTAAGAAACATTGCTTTTAGTAAGATCGTGTATGTTTTATTCGACAAGCTTTACTTTTGGTAAGACTGCGTACATCTTACTCAACAAGTGACCTTTTTTGGTGCGACAGTGTAAATTTTAGTCAACAAGTATTACTTTTGGTAAGACAATGTACCGTTGACTTAACGAGAATCACTTTTTTAAAATAATGTAATTTTTTTAAGCTATTACTTATGGTAATATAGCATACATTTTACTCAGTAATTGTTACTGTTTTTGTAAAACAGTATAGATTTAACTTGAGTAGAATCATGACAGTGGTGTTTCTCGGAAGATATATTTCTTATTTTCTTTGTATTTGTTCAGAAAGTCAGAAAAATCTATAAATACAATTATTTTTATCCTTATTGGAAAGTACTTTCCTTAACAGTCCAGATAGTCGAGATAAAGTATTATTTTGTTCTATTTTTAATATGTTGATAACACCCGACGTGTTATTAACATATAGTGATATCGAGGAGATAAAGTTTTCAACACCCAAAGAAACTATTACGCAATGTTACTGTTGGATTCTCTCTCTCAGGTCTATAAGATAAATTATTCAAATGTGACTGGTGTAAATAATATATGTATAACTCTTACGTTTAAATAAGCCTTAGAAAGACAGTCTGTATCTGCAGAGCTTTCACTGGAAATGTTATGTAATTTATGCTCCTACCGATTAATTTGGACTGTATTAAATATTTTGTAATTCTACAGTGTCTTTACGAATAACTTGGCATACTTCATGGGTCAGGATAACTACATAACAAGATAACTTATAGTGCCAATATGCGTAAATTAAACTCTAGATTTCAGTGTTTAATTTGATACTGAAGAACGATAACTCATTTTATAAGTTTGTTTTATGGAATACAAAGCACTTACATTAAACGAAGATCTTCGCATTCTTCTAATTGCGGTAGCGACGACAATCGATTAGATTTCAAGTTTCTGTCAAAAAATGGAAAACAGACAGAGTGGGATGAAATAAAGTACGTTGGGGTTGAATAAAAAAGATCTCATGTATATTAAAGTGAAAGTTCAACACGGCTAAAACTCAGGGTTAAGAGAAAATAAGCATATCTGCTACGTTCCTCTGAGTTTACTCAGCATCATCAGGTAAACAGATCGCAATAAAGTTTATGTAAGGGGACTATTCAGCTTTAACTGGTGAAAATGTTACTACAATGATATGAGTTTATGTAAGATTACTATTCAACTTTAACTGGTGAAAATATTACTATACTGATATGAGTTTATGTAAGATTACTATTCGCATGTAGTAATATTTTCACCAGTTAAAGTTGAATAGTAATCTTACATAAACTCATATCAGTATAGTAATATTTTCACCAGTTAAAGTTGAATAGTAATCTTACATAAACTCATATCAGTGTAATAATATTTTCAACAGTTAAAGCTGAAGAGTAATCTTACATAAACTCATATCATTGTAGTAACATTTTCACTAGTTAAAGCTGAATAGTAATCTTACATAAACTCATATCAGTTAGTAATATTTTCACCAGTTAAAGTTTATGAGTTTATGTAAGATTACTCTTCAGCTTTAACTGTTGAAAATATTATTACACTGATATGAGTTTATGTAAGATTACTCTTCAGCTTTAACTGTTGAAAATATTATTACACTGATATGAGTTTATGTAAGATTACTATTCAACTTTAAATGATGAGAACATTAATACACGGATATATTTTTTTTCTTTTGACACTTTCAGTCCACTGCAGCGCGTAGTATTCGTCATAAAATTTCCACTTTTCTCGTTCTCTTGTAGAATCTCCCTACATATATAGATATACATATATATCTAAGGAAGCTTGTTTAAACATATATTGGCTCGTTGCATAAACAGTAACAAACTTCGTAAGTTATAATGCTGCATTAATGCATCAAACTACAACAATCTGAACAAAGTTAAAGCCGCCTGTTGGTACTCACAGACTTTTAAGCAGCGGCACCTGGTGGCATAAATTTGGAGGAACAGAGTATAATAAAGCACGGTCCAAACGCAAGTGTTCCAGAGCGTTTGTTCCTTTTAGATCTGGAAATTCTTCTAAACTACGCACTTCGGATAAAATTCTATGAAATAAAAATACTGTTTAGTACTAGATGAAAGAAGTTACTTAGAAAACAGAAATAAAATTAATAAATATTTTAAACCGAACAAAACTACAATTTTATATATATTAAAAAGATAGATTCGAAATTTGTATTTGATATGAAGAAGTTTGTGCTCAAGCATACGTATCATCATCATAAGATAAATAAAACTCCATGTCGTTTTCTAATCAACTTATATCAATGTAGTTTGGGAACTTTAACGAAACGCTTAGAATAAACATTTATTTCAACACTGCATGATTCAGTTTTGAGTTTCTATGTAAAGAATGTTTCAATTCAATCTTCAGGTGCAAAATAACAAAACACGTATTAGAAATAAAAAAACGAAACAAAAAGGGTAATTACAATTCTTTTAGATTGGGGAGGTTGGAGAAGGTATTCTGTCCTATTTCAATCAGCGGATTTCCTCCCATTTCCAGCAGGGTTAGTTGAGGGTTGAACTTGAAGGCGGAATCTGGTAAAACCTGAATGTCGTTGCTGGCGAAGGTGCTAAAGACAACAATGATAGTGAGGAATCTACTGATAATACAATCACTCAGCAATAATATCCTTCATTTCACTATGAACTTTATGTTAACTTAGATTCTAGAGCACACACATCACTATAACAATAAACTTTAACAAAGTTCTTTTTCAAGTTAACAAATATATCGTGTTATTTTACAACAGCATAAATTGTGTTCTCTAAACACAGACTTGTGTGAACTATAACACAAAGTATTATTTTGACGATATGAATACACAAATTTTGTGTGATTTCTAGCAACACGAATGGCGTGCAGTTTTCAGTTCAACATTGTGTTTATTTAAACACATGATTGTATTACGAAGTCATATTATATTATGTATGTGTATGTTGTTTAAAATTCAACACGAAAATCGTGTATCAGCCAACACCTTCGTGTTTTGTTTTAACACAATTTTTTTACAGTGATAGGCACTATAAAACTGTATAAGACTCAACTTGCTAAACAAATACACAATTCGAATATTTTCATTGTACATTTAGGGTATATAAAATCATGATTGAAAGATGGCAAGATCTTGTTCTCTTTACTTATAGTTCTTGTACATTTAGGGTGTATAAAATCATGACTGAAAGATGGCAATATCTTGTTCCCTTTACTTATAGTTCTTGTACATTTAGGGTGTATAAAATCATGATTGAAAGATGGCAAGATCTTGTTCCCTTTACTTATAGTTCTTGTACATTTAGGGTGTATAAAATCATGATTGAAAGATGGCAAGATCTTGTTCTCCTTACTTATAGTTCTTGTACATTTAGGGTGTATAAAATCATGATTGAAAGATGGCAAGATCTTGTTCTCCTTACTTACAGTTCTTGTACATTTAGGGTGTATAAAATCATGACTGAAAGACGGCAAGATCTTGTTCTCCTTACTTATAGTTCTTGTACATTTAGGGTGTATAAAATCATGATTGAAAGATGGCAAGATCTTGTTCTCCTTACTTACAGTTCTTGTACATTTAGGGTGTATAAAATCATGATTGAAAGATGGCAAGATCTTGTTCTCCTTACTTACAGTTCTCGCAGCGATGGAAGGTTCCTTAGTCCCACTGGTAGTTTCTTCAGTTTGTTACCGTTGAGGTCTCTGAAAGAAATAGATAATCAAATATTTTACTTATTTGTTATTTATTTCGCAGCTTCATGAGTGGGTCTTTCTAAACAATACTGGGTCAGGTGTGGCCTATGGATTAGCTTGTCGTGCTGCGGGTAAAAGAGTCTGTGATTCGAGGTGTGATTCCTTTGAATACCCTCCACACTTTCAGTCGTGAATGTTTTATAAAAGGGGACAGCCAATCGCTTTATTCGGGTCAAAGTAAGATAAAACCCTTATGCTAGTGGGTGCTACAGAATGGCTGTCTTTTTTTTTTTTATGGTCAGTAGTTCAGAATTACGAACGGCTATACCTAAATCATGTTTGTCGTTAAGGTCACATGCGCACAAGTCGCCATTCAGGTTGAAACTGCTAGTCCAACTCCTATGTAACATTATTTATTTCTTTAACTACAAACATAAAGTATTTAGTATGCAGGTTAAAACTGATAATTTGTAAAACTTGATGTTAGATACTGATACGGGAAATTCTGGTTAAATAAAATGAGAAAACTGAGAATTTCACAGGTAATATATTTTCGAGATTTTGTTTTGCGGCGTTATTACTTAACTAAGTTGACTTACCATTATAATTATTACTATTCGTATTAATGACTGTCACTTTGGGTAAGACCGAATAAAATTGAATTTCATAAATGTTTGGAAATCAAACTGTAAAGATAACATTTTGTTTAAGAGAAAACCGTGACGAGTATACTTACAACACTTTTAAGAGCCCTAATCCGTGAAAAGCCTGTTCATCTATTGTTTCTATTTTGTTCTTCTTTAAGACACTGTAAAACAAAACAAAATGTTATTAAATAACATAATCCAAGAGCAAAGTTATTTTTATATGCAAAGATATTTTTTATCTTATTAAACTCAAAGACGTGTTTTACTTATCTTAATGTATGCAAAAACTGTTTTATTTATCTTACTGATTGTAAAGACATGGTTTACTTATCTTAATGAATGCAAAAACTGTTTTATTTATCTTACTGATTGTAAAGACATGGTTTACTTATCTTACTGAATGCAAAGACATGTTTTACTTATCTTACTGGTTGTAAAGACATGTTTTACTTATCTTACTGGTTGTAAAGACATGTTTTGCTTATTTTATTAAATCTAAAAACATGTATTACTTATCTTAATGAATGTAAAGGCATGTTTTACTTATCTTTCTGAATGCGAAGACGTGTTTTACTTAACCTACTGAATGCAAAATGCATAGAAAACCACCAAGATATGCGTTAAATGACGTCATTAGGATTATTAACGTGAGTCAGGAGAGGATTTGCGATTTGGGTCCGAGTTTACTGAATTTTCTAGTTGATCGACAATCCTGGGGTTCATTGGAACTAAATATCATTAAAATTCGCCAGAGCTTTTGCACGAGATTAACCAGCGTAAATTAACACTTTGGAAATGTAAGCTTATAAACGGTTCATTATGATTTCATAGTAATTTAGGATGAGATTAAATTATTAATTGAAGTAGATAAGAAGGAAAGTCATCATGCTGTTATTCTTCGATGTTACAGTCCTGAAGATCATACTTACATCTAATGTGAAATGTATGTTTTTCTGGAAGCTTATAATAAACATTTGATAGATACAGCTTCCACCGATACTTTACTATACAACATAGTATATGCTTACGTCTGTCGAGCTGTAGACAAATTGACAGAAGTAAAAAATAAGACATGCTGGAGAAAAAAAAAACAGATGCCGAGAGATGGATATATTTTAATAATCCCTAATATTACTTCTAAGGTACTTGTTTCTTTGTACATTGATTTATCAAAACTTTAAGAGGAATAAGGTATCTTTATCGTTACCTTTACCATTATCTTTACACCTACCCTTACTTTTACATTCTTCATTACTATCATCCTCATCTTAACCTTTATCTTCACCTTTATATTTACCTTTACCTTTACTAGTACCTTTACTTGTACCTTTATCTTCACCTTTATAGTTACTTTTACTAGTACCTTTATATTTACCTTTACTAGTATCTTTATCTTCACCTATATCTTTATCTTTACTTGTACCTATATCTTTACCTTTACTTGTACCTATATCTTCACCTTTATATTTACCTCTACTAGTATCTTTATCTTCACCTATATCTTTATCTTTACTTGTACCTATATCTTTACCTTTACTTGTACCTATATCTTCACCTTTATATTTACCTTTACTAGTACCTTTATATTTACATTTACTAGTATCTTTATCTTCACCTATATCTTTACCTTTACTTGTACCTATATCTTCACCTTTATATTTACCTTTACTAGTACCTTTATATTTACATTTACTAGT